GGTGGGACGTGAGCGGACACACGGCGGGAAGAGAGTGGGTGCCAAGCGGAGGCTCTGCGCCCGGCGACGGCGGCCGGTCGCCTCCCAACCACGTCCCCACGGGCCTGGCACCCAGGGCGCGCGCCGGCTTCCTGGAAGTCTGTCCCGGTGCCAACAGTCGCGGGAGGGGCATCTCAGCCACCGGAAAGAAGGGGACCCGCCTGACCCGCGCGGCTCCGTGGCGGAGCTGCGACCTAGGAGCCTGGAGGTCACGGTTCGGTTTCCGGTCAGGGCACTGGCGGGGGTGACAGGCTGATCCCCAGGAGAGGGTGTGCAGGAGGCAGCCCATCAGTGACTCTCTCTCATTGTTGTTTCGGTCTCTCTCTCCTTCTCCCTTCCTTTCTGAAATCAAAACCAAAACAAAACACTATATTTAAAAAAAAAAGAAAAAGAAATGGGCGCTGGATGAGAGACCCAGGTCACATGACTGACCCCCCCCCCAGCCCATCCCACCGCCTGGCTGCTCTGAGCGTGGAGAGGGGGGGCCCCCTGCAGGGTCCCGGCTTCTGACCACCTGAGGTCCAGGCAGAGCCATCCCCTCCCTGCCCTGAGGTCCCTGCCGCCAGAGGGAGGGTCTGGGAGAATTCCTACCAGATGAGCTTTGCCACTCCCCCCGGGGCTGGGAGCTCCACGGGGTGAAGTTACGTGTCCCCACCCTGCACACTGGACAACATGTGTGGGTCCTGTGACAGGCGGGCCCTTCATCGAGGGCCGGCACTGAGTGCTCACCCGGCATCTACGGCTTCCACGCACTCCCAGCTGCTGCAGGGCAGGGACACGCGGCTCATGTTGTCCATGGTCCCTGACGGGGTGTCCCTGCTGACACTCAAGGTGTCTGACCTGCGGTCCCTGCCAACAGGAAGTGGGCGCCGAGAGCTCATTCCCAAGAGGCGTGGCCACAGGGCCACTGCCCTAGAGGTTTAACGTAAGAAAAGGGGGTGAGGGCGTGGGCTGCACCCACTGAGCAGGGCTTGGGGGCGGGGGGGACCGGACAGGTGTGATGGTTGCTATGGCGCCTCATGCCCACCCAGCTATGTGACCAGAGGTCGGGACCCTCGTCCCACCCTCTGACCTTCAAGGAGGGGAGAGGGCCGGGCCTTGAATCAAGGCCAACGCTCTCATCACGCATGACTATGGCTGCTGCCTCCAGGGACACCCCATGGGCTCAGAGAGCTTCCAGGCGGGGGCACCCCTGGCGATGTGGGGAGAGGGAGGCGCCTCCCCACACACCTTCCCTCTGCCCCTCTCCCGTCCGGCCACTCCTGAGCTGTGTCCTTTCCTAATAAATAGATCATCCCAGGGGCAGCCGGTGTGTCTGTGGGGTCTGACGGTCTCTCCGGCCAGTGGTGTCGGCAGGCAGGGGACTGGTCGGCCCGGCTGGTGCGGGAAAAACATAAGCACCCGCATGGGAACCGGGAGCAGCAGCAGCGGGGACAGCGAGACGCCCGGGCAGTAAGACGGAGCCTTCGGGCAGTTCCCCAGGTGCCCCGGGAGCGGCTCGCTCCAGCCTCGTTTCTATGGTTGTGGTTGTGGTTGTTGTTAACATAGAGCAAATCGCCCTGGCCGGTGTGGCTCAGTGGATGGAGCGTCGGCCTGCGGACTGAAAGGTTCTGGGTTCGGTTCTGGTCAAGGGCATGTACTTTGGTTACGGGCACATCCCCAGTGGGGAGTGTGCAGGAGGCAGCTGATCGATGTTTCTCTCTCATCGAGTTTCTAACTCTCTATCCCTGTCCTCTCTGTAAAAAATCAATAAAATATATTTTTTTAAAAAAAGAGATAAAGCGAAGCCCCAGAACCTGAGAGGCCTTCACGTGCACACACAGGCACGCAGACAAGGGGAAGCCCAGCCAGGGCGTGTGTCCCACCCACTGTGGGCTGTGGATGCACGGGCCCCTCTCCCCTCTTAGCAGGACTGTGAGAGGCAGCTGCTCTCATTCACGCTAAGGACGCCACTGGCCGTGCGACCCTTCAGAAGGGGTGCGGGCAGGCACAGGGAGCATGAACTCGGCTCTGAACACGCGCCTGCCCGGGAAGACGGGGCGAATGCGCAGTCGCCTCTGGGGGTCCCGTTGTGGGGGATCTTTATTTTCTTCCTGTTGCTGGACTCTGCCTTTCAAACAGACCCCAGCTGTGTGCTCTTCTCAGTCATGGACACAACGCCGGCGTCTTTGTGGTCATTCCCGTCCCCGCGAGTGGCCTCTGAGCCAGACTCGCTCCGCAGTTCCTGTGTAAGGTCTGGTTACTTTCCCGGACTGGCGGAGGCACGCACCCACGGGCCCTGGCACTGAGGTGAGCACCCCACTGTGGCTGGGGGTGACCCGGCCATGCTGACGAGGGCTCCTGCTGTCCCTGGAGTCTCCTCCCTGGATCTGACCCCTGTCCTGGGGCCTGGAGCCGAGGCTGGCCCATTGGGATGGGAAGGGAGTGAGGCCATGGCCTTCGGGGAAGGTGGGTGCTTCTAACCAGTGGTCAGGCGCCCGGGTGTCCCAGGGAGACCAGTTCCAGCCGGAAGGCGTGAGGGGAACGCTGGGGCCAGGGAGCCGGGAGCAGGCGGGAGAGGGAGCAGGTGACGGAACTGTCCGCCTTTCCTGCCTGTGGGGCGGATGCAGGGCCAGCCCCAGGCATCTGCGGGGTCCAGACTGAACGGACACCAGGAACCAGGGTGCTGGGGGAGCCCTTTCTCTCCTGGGCAGCTGACCAGGCCGCACTCAGCAGGGCGGCGCTCTGACCTCTCAGCCCAGGGCTGCTGCCATGCTGGTCCCGCGTCTACAGGAGCTCAGCCCTCTGACACCCACACCCGGGGCTGTTGCTATGACACCCATGCCCAGGGCTGCTGCTATGCTGGCAGCCCGTCTGCAGGAGCTCAGCCCTCTGACACCCACGCTGGGGGCTGTTGCTATAACACCCACACCCGGGGCTGCTGCTATGCTGGCGGCCCGTCCGCAGGAACTCAGCCCTCCCATGGGATGAGTTGGGGACACTGGTCCGTGGAAAACAAGACGAGTGTCCGCCATCTCATCTCCACTCCCCTTGTTGCCGAGAGGCTAAAATGTGCTCATGAGCCCGCACAGCCTTGCCGATGTTTAATGTGTCCTTACCTTGAGCAATGGCAGTTTGTAAAGTGCACAACGGCCTTAAACACACTTCATCACACTCACTGGGACAGGAGGCTCGTACAAAACACATTTTAATACATGATATCTTCCAACACAGCACCAGCCACAGAGGACAATATATACATGCGTTTCCCTAGGATCTCAGAGCGCGAGTCACACTCAAGGCAGCATGGTAAACCCTAGGGCGCGAGTTGCTTCTGTGATCACAGCGGACTGAGCATCTTCTGCGAGGGGTGGCCGCACCGATCGTCCGATTGAGACCCAGGTGACCTGTTCGCTCGCTTTAGTATCAGGTTCTCTCTCTCTCGACCCAACAACTAGATCCCAAACTCCCGCCAGACGCAGGGCAGGCGCCTGCGTTCCGGGTGGTGCCGCCAAATGGTCTCACTCATCTTCACAGGTGACAGCAGGGGCCCATTCCCATCCCCTTCGGCTAAAGAACACAGAGGAGTCGCACTGAAGGCCGGATGGACGATGGCTCGCGTCAGCGTAGATCTAGGCTCCTGAAGACGAAGTCCCAGTCCCGCTACCACAGCCAGACGTCCGCAGGAATGCAAGGCTCCGCGGCCTCTGCCCGTCACACTCACACGGAGGTGCCTCGCGCCCACCGCCCTGTGCTTCCCAGCAACCAGGGAACACGTTTCATGAAACTGGAGACTCGCGTTTAAAACTGAGAGCGTCAAGCACCACGTTATACAATCCAACTCGGAAGCACCGCGCCACAAACCCCGAGCTGCTCGCGGCTGAGAGAGGGGAGCATGCGAACGTTTTAAACATCCAGGCTTCGCCGTCCTGAGGGCACGAGGAAGGCTGAGCTTTCCCGGCAGTGGAACACGGAGCAGGAGCCGCAGCTTCCGATGGCAGCTTTCGCTGGGTTTTGTTTGATGTTTCCCTTCGGGGCAGGAGAAGTCCCGGCTCCTTCAGCGGAGAAACAGCCCCTCCGGTCGGAGGAGGTGACTCAGGCTGGGGTCCTGTTTCAGAGGCACCCAGGGCGGGAGCGCCCGACGAGCTTCCTCGCGTGGAATAATGCGACGACTGGCAGAGCACACGCACGTTAAGCGAAGAAAACCCCCGAGTTCTGTTTACGCTGATTATACTGATTACAGCGACATCATCATAGCCTCGATCCCGTCCACGTCCACAGGGGAGAACAGCTCGCTAATCCACCTTTTCCTCCTTTTCCGCCCAGGGAAAGCCGGGGCGTTCGTTTAGGGCCCCGGACGCAGTAGCTGCTTCATCTGTGTGTGTGTGTGTTTTGTGGAAAACTGAGGACAACACTCCGGGACACACACACATTCCTGCTGAATGACAGGGGCTTGAACTCGGAAGGAGGGATGTCTTTGCTGAGAAACAGACACGCGAAGGACAGACCCTTCGACTCCGCAGGCCTTGAGAACAGACCAGCCAGTGCAGCGGGCCGTGCGGCCGGGCACGCGCCACCCAGTGGCGGGCAGCGGAGTGGCAGCGGGATGAAAATAGCTCTTTCCTCTGCTCCTGCCAAAAATTTTCCATGATTTTGCTTTTTTGGAAACAATGACAGGAAGTTATCCTTTTCCAGGCCATAAACAAGGACTCGGTTACATAAACAAGGGCTCTGGCCCTGACCCCTTTCGGGGACAGGTCCCTCCCGGTCTCGCGTGGTGCGAGGGAGAGACGTGGGGCCCTGTCCTCGGGCCTGGACGGCGCTTCACTCCCAGTGGCCCCGAGGACTTGAGAAGCAGGACGCGGGCCCTCGGCTCCGTCCACAGGGGGCCCGGTTGGTGTGTGCCCCTCCTCACGCTCTCCCACCGCCCGAGCCAACAGCCATCTGCCCCGTACACGCCCCAGTTTCTGCTTAACAGACTCGTGTGGCTTGAATAATAGGTCCACACAACAACCCAAGGCCTGAGCCCTGGCCAACTTCATCGTGAACTAGGAAGTGTACCTGGGATTTGCTAGGAATCTTGGGGAGGAAGGAGAGAGAGAGAGAGCGAGAGAGCGAGAGAGAGAGAGAGAGAGGGCCCTCGTTTATGGAGCAGTCAGCCTGGGCCCTGGGCTGGTCCCAGCATCATCGGGGGACGCGGCTACCTCCCCGGGCCGGCACTGAAGCCTGATAAGGTGGCCGTTCCTGAGCCGGACACACCTGTGCCGCGTGCTGCACGCCGGGGGAGGGAGTCCAGGGTGGCCGTGGTGCGAGGGCAGGAAGGGAGACGGCGTTGCCACAAGCAGCCGTGGCCGCAGGGAGTGTTCCAATTTTCTCCAGTTTTTTCCAGTTTTTTCCAGATGTGCACACTGGCCTCTGGGGATTCAGCAGAAAAGACGTGACCATCAAATGAACAAACCAGGAAAGATGACTTGGAGATGGAAACGCAGGGATCACCGGAAACGGTGCTCAAAACACCCCAACCAAACCAAACAAGCGAAGTGGCCGCAGCGAATGGTCCGCGTCCGTGGATTTCAGTTACCACACGGTCCGCCACCGTGCGGGGCGGGGAGTCCGCGGGCCCCCCAGGTGCGGCAGGGGCCCCGCGCCGCGGCCAGGCGGCCGGCTGCCCTACCAGTCCAGCTGCAGGTCGGCCTTGCTCCAGGCGTACTTGCCTCCGCGCTTGAGGAACGTCGCCTCGTCGAAGCCGCTGAACTTGATGGCCTCCTGCACGCCCACGTCCAGGATGGAGCGGGACGGGTCCTTGCGGCCCTCTCTGCAGTTCAGGAAGCGCATCTGGAAGGGCAGGGCAGACATGGGGGTTTCTGCGTCGTGTGCCCGTAAAACTCACCGCTGGACCCCAACCCGATTTGTCGGCGTCCAACCATTTCAGTCCGTGTCAGCCACGGGCCGCGAGCCAC